TCTGGGAGTTATTTCCCCCTCAATATGTGAAATCTGGTACCCACTTGTTAAAGTCTATTTTAAAATAATTAAGTTAAACATTTACTTTAAGGATCTTATTTGGCTTTTATTCCCGAATGGGAACCTTTCACATCTAAGACTTTAGATTTAAAGTATCCTTAGAACTTTGAACCATACTGGACTATAAACTTCACAAGGGATCCTTTCCTCTTTTACTAATATTGTATCCTAGCATCTTTGCATAATAGCACATAACAGATGACTAAAATCTAGAAAAAACCAACTACCAAATAAAAATAAATATTGAATAAATCAAGTATAAAGTACCCTTTTCATCTTTTTTTCTCTTTTTTTAACTATTTTTCAAGTACAGTATTCTGTCTTTTACTCCCATCCCAGCCCACTCCCCCTGCCCACCTCCCTCCCATTTCCACCCCCCTTAGTTGTTGTCCATGTGTCCTTTATACTAGTTCCTATAAATCCTTCCCCCTTTTCCTCTGAAATTCCCTCCCCCTTTTTCATCTTTTTCATAAAGTAACCATCATTTTTGCTTTACTTTCCCTTTAGATTCTCCATTTGAGAATATTTTTGTACAGAAGAACAAAGTCATAACACAAACACCCAGTCTGTGTATAATTTCCCCCTTCTCTTTGTTGGCAAAACCATGCTAAGGAGAATAGTGAATGAATCTGTATGGTAAATACAAGAAGTGGGTAGAATTAGGAACATACAATTTCACATCTGTATTAAACTGGGTCTTCAGAGGGCAAAAACTTAGGCTATTTTTCCTTCTTCTAAAAGAATTCATTCCAAAGTATATTAGATTTGTCTTGGCTGATATTTTCAGCATTTTATGTTAGGTCATTTTAATATGTCTATAAATATTTCTTCCCTTTGTTATCTCATCTTTCCTAAAAGGTTTGGCTAACCTGAAAATTTCCTCAATCTTCAGCAATACCAATGAATACACATTAATAAATTAGGAAATTACATGGGTTCATTGCATTTGTTATTGATCAGCCTCCATAATTTCAAGTTCATTTTCTTGAGGTTTATTGTTTAGTATCTGATTTACAAATTCTTCATGTCCTTGGCATCACTTATGTCTTCTTCCTGCAACCTGTTTTTTGGTGATTTCACTACTCATTGACCCTCCCTCCATCAGGACGGGCAGAGTAAAAAATGATATATTTTAATATAGTCATATTAGCTACTTGTTAAAATCTCTGATAAATGTTGTGCAAGAAAGAAATAGTAATTGTTGACTAAAATGACATTTAGAATTTGAAAAAATAATTCTTTGTTCATAATTTACTAACAGTTGCTATGGAAAACTGAGTTCTCCATATGCCACATTTAATAAAGATTTCCTCATGATAAAAGCATAATTTATTAAAATAATTCTAATCATTACCACACCAAGCTTATGAACTAAATACCTACAAAAATGCTGTCAATGAGAAACAGACAATATTAAAAAAATCAATAGCTAAAATGAAGCACAAGGTAGATTTTAAAATGGAGAATAATATAATTGCTTTTGCCTCATAGATTTAAACCACTTGCCTTACATAGTGACTTAAGAATCACAGATAGAATAATATATTTAATAAGAATATCTGTGGATGATTTTTAAAGTGAAGATTTAACTATACTGGTTACTAATAATCAGTGATGTAATAGTCATGGTGTGGGAGAACAAAGAGCATTGCAAGGCTACATATGGACTTCAGAGCATCAACTTGCTCTTTAAAAGGAGAGCTACCTTATATAAACATTTTCAGTCTTCACAAATTAAAATTTTAAATGTCGCCAGCTGATTAACAGAATATTTTAGCAAAAAAAAATACTGGCAAGTATATTTTATTCAGCAGATAAACTTTAGAGAACTAAACTCTCCATCATAACCAGAGGGTTAAGTAATTAAATTTATGCCTGCAGTATTTCATTCTATAAATAATCTATAATGTCATAACTAGTTTTGACAGGGACATTCAAATTTTACAAGAAATAAAATATTAGAATAAACATTTTCAAATTTTCATAGCATAGCATAAACAAAATATAGGCATAATACATAATTATTTTTGAAATTTAAGGAATGGATCTTAAACAGGTAAATCACAGGGACACAAAGATCAGAAATACTATTTTTAGTCATTTTTATACAGTCTTTTACTTTAGAATTTTAAATGATTAGTGAAAAGATCACTTCATATGTCAAAGTGAATAAAAACAATAATAACTCAGAAATTTTTATTCTCTCAAGAAATAATCTATTCTATTGTATGAAAAGGTGGTCTAGGATACTATTTAAGTAATTTTAATTTTATTTGGCAAAATAATATATATTTTAGGCACAACTAATGATTCTTCCCACTTTCTTTTTGAACAAAGGACATACTATTTTCATAAACAATTAAAACGTTTACAAAGGCTAATAAAACCTATGTCATATTGTCATATACACACTTTTGTTCTTGTGAGGCTTTGGGCCTAAATCCCATATTCTCTAACCAGATAACTCTCAATAAGGACAAAGATGGAAAAGATTTATCTGGTATTTATATATGTGATACCAATATTTTAAAAGTTAAAAGCAGTTGTATATATATTCTTTAAAAATTAGCCTTTAAAAATAGATACATAAATTCAAGTGAAGTATCATTTCAAAATAAAACAGACAATAATGTAGGCTTCATTATATATGCCAAACTACTATAAAACTCCCAGGAGAAAGCTACTAGAAAAATACTAGAAAATTAAATAACTGAAATAGTTGTTTAAGAAATTCCTAGGTTAAAAACGAAATTCAACTTTTACAATATCCAGTGAACTAAAACTCAAACATTTTCTTAAATTGAAAAGACATCAACATGTATGATATTGTAATATAAGGAAAAAGAAAACTGTTACTGAGAAAAAAGAAGGTAAACCAATAGCTTTATTATTGAAGAATTCTGACTTCAAGACAAGTCTTATCAGATAAAACACAACTGCATGCTTGTGTCTGATGCTCCCTGGACGGGTTGTGAGGACATATCTGCTCTCACCCACAGTTCACAGAAAATATTTAAAACATACGACTGAATAATTTCTCCTGAACAAACTGAACTTTCTTTAAGAATTAAAGGGATAAGGTAATAGATCAAATCTAGCCCCACCTCTTTTTCCTCCGTTTTTCTTTTAGTGAAACAAATTGTTAAGAAGCATCACAGCGCCACCAACACAGATCAATGCAAAACAAAAAAGATCTCTTACCGTGTGCAAAAAGAAAAAAAAAATTAGAAAAATTCCCCAAATTACAAAATGTCTCCCAAATGTACCTTATCTTGTTTTTGGACAAAAACAAGATAAATCTGAGATTATCTAATAAAGAGCTTCAAGGAATTAATATCATGGAATACAAGTTTAGATCTGATGAGCAAATAAAAGATCCACTATTTAGCAACAGCCATAACTTAATATAAACCCGGTTATGTCAATCTCCACCTTCATTATATCAAGGGCAGCTTTTCTTTAATTTGTATCCAAGTAATTCATCAAGAAAACCACAATAGGCTTTAAAAAAATACAAAAAGCTAACTACATCCATAGTTTGCCTGTTGATAATTTAGTCCTGGACAAATTAGGTAATACATAATTTTTTAAAGAGGATATGCACATATTTGGCATTACCAACATTGCTGGCACAAGTCCATCTCGAAATAGCTTAGTTCTTCCGTAGTTCACAGTAATTAAAGTGTAATTTATATCATAAATATTCAGCTTTAATAATGAAAAAGAAACTGTTTTTTTTTTCTTTTTGGTAAAAATTAACTAGACAAGATGAGGTGTATTCTGTAGATCAAAGCTAAAGAGAAATACAAAGATTGGTTTTGTTAGAAGAAACACAATGAAAATCTTTTTTACCTGGTGGTTCATTCAAAGATTTAATGACATAAATATTTAAAATTACAAACTTACCATTAGTGAAGGCAAAGAAGAAACCAGTACTTGAAAAAAAATTGTAACAATATAGGCTGTATACTTGTGTCCCTAGAAACGACAGCCTCCAGGCAGCATATGGAGCTCGAAACATCTTTAAGGTTTTTGGTAAATAAAAAGTAATACTTTCTTCCATGATTGGTGGCTGAGTCGGGTTGCTTCCCCCAGAATCTGTGGGCGTTTGGGGAAAATCGGAGAAATATCCACGAAGATTAAAAGCAGAGTAGGCAGCGGCAGCCCGAAGACGCTGGGGTTAACAACTTTGCGCTGGCGAGCAGGCGCGCTCTGATTGGATGGCAGAGCAGCGTCCCCACAGGCCGCACTGTCCCCCGTCCCCCGCCCCCTGCGGCTCGGGGAGAAATGCGGTGAGTGTGTGCCATTTTACACCAGGCTTTTAAAAGCTCAGCTGTCCAAATGCGGTGTGTGCCATTTTACACAAGGCTTTTAAAAGCTCAGCCGTCCAAAGAACACAAGTCTAAGCTCGTTATGAGGTGACACTGCAAAACAATAGCACCTACAACTACCTCTTAATTCAGGAAAATGCCTTTTTTAATGTCTTTAGAAACACTTGTGTTTCTCGTATGCGGCTTTTTTTGAGGAATATAATGCTTTTCTATATTAAGCAAATTGTTTTATCACTTCACAAATGTCGGTATACAATTTTGGCCTTTTGAAAGCTATCTCCATCAAAACATTTTTGATTTGACATCATTAAAGTACCTAAAGACGCCAGTCACCCTTACAGAAATTCACGACTCATTTAGCTCGGAGAGCTTTAATTCCTCGAAAAAAAATATGTTGGCCATAAAAACTACCATTTCTGGAAAGGATTAAAAATGAAATAATGGTTTCAGTGGTAAATTAAAATCGGTGGCCACAGTTGTTTTTTTTCTTCCTTCAAAATTGTCTCAAAACCCTTCCGCCGGGCGGAACGCCAGTCCTCCGACTCACAAACAAAATGGCCGCGCGGCTGAACTTGCCCGGCCCCGCCCACGATACCTTCTTCCGGGCCACCGGAAGTGCTAAAAATCCAGGGTGAATACTGTAGTCCCAGTACATTGTCTGAGTCTGAACTGCGGTGAGGCGTTTGGTGAGGGGGTCTTAGAATGTGTTGCTTTTTACTAGCTTTTAAAAATTGTTTTGCAAGTATGAAGGACACAAGGACAAGAGATAAGGGGGGTGGAAATGGGAGGGAGGTGGGGAGCACGGGGCGGGGTGGGCTGGAATGGGAGAAATAGACAAAACTGTACTTGAAAAATAAGTAAATAAAAATTTAAAAATTAATGTTTTTGCAAATAGAAAATAAAATTTTATTGAATAAATGAAAAAATTGTTTTGAAAAGAACATCAATCACTAGAGATTTAATAGACTGTAATTTGAATTTTCTGCTTTACATACTAATAAGGTCTTTCACCTACTTTGGCAGGCTTTCAGATTAAGCGAGCTGGGAAATTTGATACTCTGTCTCTGGTTGTGAGCCCAGACAGGTACTTAGTGGTTGCAACTGGGCTTTTAAATAAAAATGAAGCTGAAAACCTAAAAAAAAAAAAAAAAGTTAAATGAATGCTACGCTATGATACAAAACGTAAAGTCACAAAAGTCAGCAAATTTCAAAATTTGTCAAATACTGCATAGTATATGTTTTAATTGAACATATTCAGTATAAAATTCTTTGCCAATAAATTCCTAATGATCCAAGGATAGAACAGGGTTTAAAGGAAAGGGATGAAGAAAGGGGCGTGTACTTGCCTACATTCTTTAGGAGTCCTTCCTCCAGACACACACGGTTTAGTATTTCTATCCTTGCCTGGCATTTGATAGGTAACATTCTTAGAGAACCCTATAGGTAGGGCGACTATATAATTTATTGCCCAAATCAGGATATTTTTGAGATTGAAAGGGAGCATATTATTAACTATAGAATGATTTGAATGAATAGGAACCGTCCATGGTAAATCAGGAGGTAGAGCTCACTACTCCCATGTGTTCTGGGAAACCTTGAACTTTTTAAGCAGGTCACCTGGTTCTAGACCTATGAAGCTAGAACCTGAGCTAGACCTCTTTTCTGGACTGTACCTAATGCCTTAGCTCTACTGTCAACTGAAGTAGAAAACAACTCAAATTCAGATGTACTTAATGAACAATTATGGTAAGGAAAATATCCCTGTTTTCATTTTATTTTGTGGTCTCACTAATAGTGACCTTAAAACAGTAAATTTCAAGGACATTTATTTGAAATTAGGAAAACATTTTAAAGAAGTCATCTAGTGAAGAGAGTGGGTGAAAATTCTTCAGAAAATTTTAAAGTTTTCCTTCCAATAGAAAAAATTGCTAGGGGCCATTTTTGCTATATATTTTTGTTTTTCTACCCTGTTCTTTTCTCTCCCATCCCTTTTCTCATCCCCATATACCCATGTAACCCATATATGTACATATACATACATATTATACAAATATAATTTATATATGTACATATATTCTTTTATCTATTATCTATAGATTACAACCTTCTGTACACTTTTTACTTATAATATGAATATTTCTGATTACATACTTTGGGAGAATTTTCTTCAGAGATTTTGAGGCACTATTCATCATATACATGATTTGAATATCTTGTTTTAGTAAAGGTAAAATGTAGAGTGAGATGTTTAGTGTTGTGGGAAGCCAGAGAAATAAGCAAAATATAAATAATTGTTAATTATGACAAATGCTATTAAAGAAATAAACATAGTATAGTCTTAGAGAATAACAGGGAGGGAAATACATAGATAAAGTTGTAAGGAAACTTGTTTCTAAGCAGGTGACATTGAAGCTAGGCTTGAAGGATGAGAAGGAGCCACACTTGAAAAATATGTGAGAAATAGCGACCAGGAAAAGATTACTTGTGTTAAGGCCCTGAGGTAAAATGAAGCTTGGGGTATTCCAGGGAATAATATGAGGCCAATGTCTGTGCAGTATTTTGGGAGAAAGAGAATTCAATAAAGTGAGACACTTAGCAACATCCTGCAGAGTGACAAGTTATAAAAAAAGAGTTTCATATCTAAGCAGGTAAATTGTATTCAAAGAGGAAAATGTTGGAATTTGAGCTTTTGGAGTTTTTAAATAATGATAAGATACAGAGAAGCTGTGGTGAAGAAAACAACTCCATGCTGATTTTTTTTTTTTTTAAAGTTGAAAAGAATTTATTCTGGAATAAGTAAAAGGTATTATTTTATAGAAAGCTTACATACTTTATTGTTTTAGGAGGTTTTTTTTTTTAATTTATTGAGTTATTTTTCAAGTACAGTTTTCTTTTGTCAATTTCTCCCATCCCAACCCCCCCTCCGCCCCGTCTCCCCACCTCCCTCCCATCCCCCCCTCCCCAAAGACCTCATCCCTGTGTCTTTCATACTTGTTCTTCAAAATCCCTCCTCGTTTTTCCCCTTAAATTCCCTTCCCTCTCCCCTCTGGTCGCTGCCCACTTGTTCTCTATTTTAGTGTCTTTGTTTTTATTCTATTTGCTTGTTTATTTTGTTATTTAGCTTCCTGTTAAAGGTGAGATCATATGGTATTTGTCCTTCAATGCCTGGCCTATTTCACTCAGCATAATGCTTTCCAGTTCCATCCATGTTGATGCAAAGGGTAGTAGCTCCTTATTTCTCTCTGCTGCATAGAATTCCATTGTGTATATGTACCACAATTTTTTGATCCATTCATTTACTGACGGGCACCTAGGTTGCTTCCAACTCTTGGCTATTGTAAATTGTGCTGCCATGAACATTGTGGTGCATAGGTTCTTTGAAATTGATGTTTTAGGATTCTTGGGATATAATCCTAGCAGTGGAATTGCTGGGTCAAAAGGCAGGTCGATTTTTATTTTTCTGAGAAAATTCCATACTGTTCTCCATAATGGTTGTACCAGTCTGCAATCCCACCAACAGTGAACTAAGGACCCCTTTTCCCCACAACCTCTCCAACATTTGTTGTTGGTTGCTTTGTTTAAGATAGCCATCCTGACTGGTGTAAAGTGGTATCTCATTGTGGTTTTAATTTGCATCTCTCTGATAGCTAACGATATTGAGCACCTCTTCATGTGTCTCTGGATATTCTGTATGACCTCTTTGGAGAAGTGTCTCTTCAAGTCCTTTTCCCATTTTTTAATTGGGTTTGATGTCTTCCTAGAGTGAAGTCTTGTAAGTTCTTTGTATATTTTGGAGATTAAACCTTTGTCTGAGGTATCATTGGCAAATATGTTTTCCCATACAGTTGGTCGTCTTGCTAATTTAATACTGTTTTCTTTGACCATGCAGAAGCTTTTTATTTTGATGAGGTCCCATTTGTTTATTCTTTCCTGTATATCCCTTGCTCTAGGGGACATATCGGTAAAAATGTTGCTGCGTGGAATATCTGAGATTTTCTTGCCGATGTTCTCCTCTAAGACTTTAATGGTGCCACGGCTTATATTTAAGTCTTTTATCCACCTTGAATTTATTTTGGTGTATGGTGTAAGTTGGTGCTCAAGTTTAATTTTTTGCACATAGCTGTCCAGTTCTCCCAACACCATTTGTTGAAGAGGCTATCTTTACTCCATTTGATGTTACTGCCCCCTTTGTCAAATATTAATTGACTGTAGAGAGTTGGGTTGATTTCTAGGCTCTCTGTTCTGTTCCATTGGTCTATATGCCTGTTTTTATGCCAGTACCAGGCTGTTTTGATTACAGTGGCTTTGTAATACAGTTTGATATCAGGTATTGTGATCCCCCCTACTTTGTTCTTCTTTCTCAAAAGAGCAGCTGCTATTCGGGCTCGTTTATGGCTCCATATAAATTTTTGAAGTGTTTGTTCTATGTCTGTGAAATATGCCATTGGTACTTTAATAGGTATTGCATTAAATCTGTATATTGCTTTGGGTAGAATGGACATTTTGATGATGTTAATTCTTCCAATCCATGAACAAGGTATATGTTTCCATTTGTTTGTGTCTTCCTTGATTTCTTTCTTCAGGGCTGTGTAGTTTTCTGCATACAGGTCTTTTACCTCCTTGGTTAGGTTTATTCCCAGATATTTTATTTTTGTTTTTGCTATATCAAATGGGATTTTTTCCTTGATTTCTGCTTCTGCTGATTCATTGTTCGTATATAAAAATGCCTTTGATTTCTGGATATTGACTTTGTATCCTGCTGTTTTGCCAAATTCATTAATGAGTTCGAGCAGTTTTTGGGTAGAGTCTATAGGATTTTCCATGTACACTATCATGTCATCTGCAAACAGTGACAGTTTTGTTTCCTCCTTTCCTATTCGTATGCCTTTTATTTCCTTTTCCTGCCTGATTGCTGTGGCCAAAACTTCTAATACTATATTGAATAGAAGTGGTGAAAGTGGACATCCTTGTCGTGTTCCTGATCTTAGTGGAAAAGCTTTTAGTTTTTGCCCATTGAGTATGATATTGGCTGTAGGTCTCTCATCTATGTCCTTTATTATATTGAGGAATGCTCCCTGTATTCCCATTTTGCTGAGTGTTTTTATCATAAATGGGTGTTGTACCTTATCAAAAGCTTTTTCCACCTCTATTGATATGATCATGTGGTTTTTGTCTTTGCTTTTGTTTATGTGATGAATTACATTTACTGATTTGCGAATGTTGAACCATCCTTGCATCCCTGGGATGACTCCCACTTGGTCATGGTGTATAATCTTTTGGATATATTGTTGGATGCGATTTGCCAATATTTTGTTGAGGATTTTAGCATCTATGTTCATCAGTGATATTGGTCTGAAGTTTTCTTTCTTTGTTGTATCTCTATCTGGTTTTGGGATTAGGATGATGCTGGCTTCATAAAAGGAGTTTGGGAGTTTTCCATCCTTTTGGATTTTTTGGAATAGTCTGTGTAGAATGGGGGTTAGCTCTTCTTTAAATGCTTTGTAGAATTCTCCTGTGAACCCATCTGGTCCGGGGCTTTTGTGTGATGGGAGTTTTTTGATTACTGCTTCAATTTCTTTTGCTGTTATTGGTCTATTCAGGTTTTCTACTTCTTTTTCATTGAGTTTTGGGAGATTATATTTTTCTAGAAATGTGTCCATTTCCCCTAGGTTCTCAAATTTCTTAGCATATAGTTCTTCATAGTAATTTCTTACAATCCTTTCTATTTCTGTGGTATCAGTTGTAATCTCTCCTCTTTCATTTCTGATTGTGTTTATTTGTGTCCGCTCCATTCTTTTCTTGATGAGCCTACTTAAAGGCTTGTCTATGAGGAAAGGACATGGGGAGCCTGTCCAATAATACAATATATCTACTCGAGACTAAGAAGCCTCTACAGAAAAAGGAGGAATACAGAGATATTATTAAAATATAAAAGAGGTGAAAATAATGAAAAAAAATGCATCTCCTCGTGGCTTCTCTGCTATAGGAAGGTGAAGTTTGTTTCTCTGTCTCTACTGTTGAGATGCCCCCTCTTCGGGTCCCATTCTGGTCCTTTCACAGTTCCTAGTTGTTGGTGTCTCTTGCGGGTAAAAGGAAACGAAGCAACATACCATCGAAGGAAAAGGCAGGAGAGGGGAGGCGAACGCAATGAGTTTAAGAGGAAAGGGAGAAGGACTAAAACAGGGAAAAAGAAAGGAGAGGAACAATGTATAGAAAGATAGAGCAGTGATAAAATTTAAAAAATATATAAGGTTACTAAACTAATGCACAAAAAAGTTACTAAAAAAAAGGAAAAAAAACCAAAAAATTAAAAAAAACCCAAAACACAAACAAGAAAACAGCAAAAAAAAAAAAAACCCAAATAAACAATAACAACAACAACAGAGAAACCCTTCCCTTGTTGGTTTCAAACTGTCCAGACTGGTTTTTCTCGTTGTAGCAGGATCTCCCTGTGTGCTGGGATGCCGGCGCACCAGCCAGGCTACCAGCTTGGGGTGTGGGCACCTGCGCACCCGCTGCGCGCACCAGCCTGGCTACCGGATTGGGGTGTGGGCGCCTGCGCACTTGCCTGGCACACTCCCGGGGCAGTTCGGGACTGCGCAACTAGCGCTTCCCGGTCCGCGCCGGCCCCGAGCACTTCCCGGTCCTAGTGGCGTCAGCCGAGAGTTCTCTGCGCCCACGCTCGCGCGGGAAACCGGCTGGCGCTTCTAGGTCCAGTAGCCCCGGCTCAAAGATCTCTGCGCCAGTGCGCGCCAGAGTCCGGCTATGCGCGCGAGCAGGAAACCGTCAGGGAGCGTCTTTATCCTGCGGCGCCTCTCTGAACTCTCTGCGCCCACGAGCTCGTCCTTCTGGGACTGGCGTATCCGGCAGCGGGCTTCCCAGTCCCCTGGTGGTGGCTCAGAGGCCTCCGCTTCCAACAGACCTTCTGGGACCTGGAGTAACAGGCAGGGCGCATCCCATTCGTGTGGCTAGTCCCCAAATGCCTCCACTTTCCCCCTGGCTCGCTGCAAGGCCTGATAGGGAGCAAGCCAATCTGCCTTGGCAGGAGAACACCTCAGTCCACTTTCAATAAAAAAAAACAAAACAAAACTTTCCAGACAGCCTGTCTCTCATTCCCGCTCAGTCCCCAACCAAACCTGTGAGGCTAATGCGTCTCTGGATTCTCCCAGGCTTGCAATCACAGAGTCTGCAGTTGAACCGGGCCCTGTGTCTTTGTACCCCCCCCCCCCAAAAATGCAAGCCGGCAAGCAGACAGGTCTCTGCCCGGTGTTGTCCAGTTTTGCTTATACAGGAAGCAGGGGAGCTGCTGGCCCACGCTGGTGGCCACTGGAGCCACTGGGTGCCCAAGCTCCTGTGGTAGACCTCTCTGGTGTTAGTCTCAGATGGATGGTTCTGGACCCCGTCTGTAGATGCAGCACCCGGGCCACCTGGCCTGGGGCGCCAGCCCCTGCCGCTGCTTTGTCTTTAAACTGGTCCCCAAGGCCCCACTGACCTGCCGCTTTCTGGTGTTTCAGCGTCCAACAGAGTCTCTGTTCTTTCAATTTCACAAATGCTGGATAACTGATGGATTAGTGCGCTGCTTTTCTATAGATCTGCCAGGATTTTCACCCACAAGTGCGGGAGCTAGAATCCGCTCCCTCTTACTCCGACGCCATCTTGCTCTCTCCTCCTCCATGCTGATTTTGAATGACATAGCTGTATCAGTGTTTTGGTATATTTTTAAAATCCACATTTCATCTGCATGTTATAGCCATAGATTATGACTCAGTTCATAAATAAATATGAGCAAGAAACAAATATCTGAGATCATGCATCTTACTAGTAAAGTGAAAAGGAAGAACTTAGGCAACTACTGCTTATCTGTGGTAGTGGTGATTTTGGTATTTTTAATTCACCCTTACATATCATATCAGTGGAACAAAACTCAATAAACAACTTTTTATTAAACTGATGAGGTAAAGTGTTTTTTTAAATCCTAATCTGATGATATAATTTTTATTGATTTTAGGGAGAGTGGAAGAGAGAGAAACATCGATGTGAGAGAGAAACATAGGCTGCTTGCCATATGCACCCTGCCCAGGGATTGAACCTGCCTAGATATGTGCCCTCATGGAATGAAACCTGCAACTTTTTGGTGCACAGGACAATAATCCAACCAAGTGAGTCACACAGCCAGGGTGAGGTAAAGCATTATTAAAGCTAAAATTTAACTAATATAATGGAAATAAAAACAGTTATTCTTTTTTAATTTACTAACTGGTTGTTAACAAATCAAAATCCTGTGTCCACATGGGCAGTAACTATATGTTCAATTTCTTAGATTTCAAGGCTTAGGAAAACTTTAAAAATAGGCCCAGTCAGTGGTGTGTAATCCCTTGAGTGTGCTTTGACAGTAGTAAAAATCTCTTAAATCAAATTTCATGAACCCAGTTAGGTAGTAGACTTTTTAAGATCTTTACCTCTCAGAATCTTGTGGTGAAGGAAGATATGTTTTTAGAATTCAGAAGCTAGGTTCCATGAAGACTCCATTCCATCTAGATCTTTTTGTCTCATGAGAGAAAAAGAAAGCCATTAATCTGTTTAAAACACCATTTATGGGGTCCCTTCATCATTAGTCAAATGTAATTTTTAATACAATCAGTGTCAGTAATCTTGAGTATTATCCCGGTTAAAACCAGGAACTACTTAATTGCTATACAGTTGCAGGCTGAGTAGAATAAGGGAAACTTATGAAATGCAAGTAATTTGATAAATCTCATGATTTTAAAGTGGTAATATGATGCAGTGTACCCTATAATCAAATACAATAATATTTTTATAGTAAAATATAGTCACACTAAGTGAGGTAAAAACAGACTATGTAGCCTCAGCTTTTGTCACCAGATACTACAACTTGTAGTTGAAAGTGAAATTGAAAAATTTCAAGTGTAGTTGAAAGTGAAAAACTTTCAATTTCAAAGATTTTGTGAATTCATAATTGTGGATAAGGGAATGTGACACCGTAGACTTTAGCCCATTCAGGTAGTTAAAATAATTATTCCTATCTTAAATCAAAGCTCATAATCCTAATGATTATGAACAAAGTTATAATTTGGAAATGGCCAGATTTCTATTAGTGGACCTTACTGAATTCATGTACAAGGGACAAAGGAAAGAATACACAGAAGGGAAATGAAGTCCTCAAAATAAAAAGCTTCTGCACAGCTAAAGAAAACATCAGCAAAATGAAAAGAAAACCAACCATATAGGAAAATGTATTTACAAATGATATCTTAGACAAGGGTTTGATCTCCAAAATATATAAAGAACTCACATGACTCCACTCCAGGAAGACAAACAATCCAATGAAAAAATGGGCAAAGGACCTGACCAGACATGTCTCCAAGGAGGACATACAGAGGGCCCAGAGATATATGAAAGGATGCTTAGCATCACTAGCCATCTGCAAGATGCAAATTAAAACCACGATGAGATACCAATTCACACCAGTCAGAATGGCCATCATAACCAAATTATCAAACAAAAAGTTATGGCAAGGTTGTGGAGAAAAGGGAACCCCAGTACACTATTGGTGGGAATGCAGACTGGCACAGCCACTATGGAAAACAGTATGGGATTTTCTCAGAAAACTAAAAATGGAAGAACTGCCTTTTGACCCAGCAGTTCCACTACTGGGATTATACCCTGAGAATCCTGAAACACCAATCCAAAAGAACCTATGCACCACAATTTTCATAGCAGCACAATTTACAATAGCCAAGTGCTGGAAGCAACCTAAGTGCCCATCAGTAGATAAATGGATCAAAAAACTATGGTACATTTACACAGTAGAATACTATGCAGCAGAAAGAAAGAAGGAGCTCCTACCCTTTGCAACAGCATGGATGAAATTGAAGAGCATTATGCTAAGTGAAATAAGCCAGGCAGTGAAAGAGAAATACCATATGATCTCCCCTATAAGTGGAACTTTATCAACAAAACAAATAAGCAAGCAAAATATAACCAGAGACATTGAAATAAAGAACAATCTGACAGTAACCAGAACAGAGGTGGGAGGGAATAATGTGGGAAAAAAAGAGAAAGGTTTGTCAGGAACATGTATAAAGGACATATGGACAAAGCCAAAGGGGGGAGGATCAAGGATGGGAAGTGGGGATGGCTAGGTGGGAGGAATGGTAAGGGCAAAATGGAAACAATTGTACTTAAACAACAATAAAAAATGTAGAGAAAGAAATAGAACATACTTCTCCCTCCATGACAACCATCTCTCTAATACACACACATATTGCAGTGTAGTTATGGGAAAAAAATCACATTGAGACCATACTGCTTAAAATTTCAGCATTGCATGGGTTTATGATGAAAAAGGGGAACTGGAATAGCTACAGCAATAGAAATGCAGCTGGTAAAGACTCTTGAACTATGAACCTTGAACAATTATAGAGAGATGGAAACTTTCTGTAAGAGATATCATTAAAGCTTCCATACAACAAAGACCACTTACTGTTATGAAACATGAATCATTACTGGAACAAAAAGAGAGCACTAAGAAGGGGAGTAGACCAAGCCAATACATCATCGTGGAATAGTTTTATCAGAGAACAGGTGATTAACCAAACCAAAGGAGCTAGGTGACTACCCAGCAGAGGAAAGGACAGAATGCAGTGATAGCTAAGGTATCAGAAGGATAAAGCAGGGGCTGGAAAGACCTGAGGCATGAGGGAAGCTGCCAGCTTAAGTGGGGTCCAAAGTCAGGAGCTGAATTTCACATCATACTACAGCTATTCTTGGGCACCCTGACATTTGATACTTTGAATCTAATTATTCAGCTACTTACAGCAAAAGTTTACTAAAATGAAAAAAAAATTAAAGCAATTTAATACAGGGTCTTGATGGATATGAAGAATAAGATGTACATGGGATTACAAAAGCCAATGAATAAAATTCAGTAAGAATTATGCTCCTCCCACCCCCAAAAAGTAAGTCAGCAAATAATTCAGGTCTAGGATGACAAAGGAAGAGGAGTTCAACAGGATCAAATCATGAATAATTTCCTTGGCTGTATCTAGCCAAGGGTTTTTATAATTTCTCAGTGTGGGGGGCGTGGGAATTAATGTTAATAACAATGTACACAGGTGGTTTATTTTAATATTTAGTTATTCTTAACGAATCTACTTGTCATATATCGTTTTGCATTAAAAGAACACTTTGGGCATTTTTATAAGTTAGACTTGGGGACTGAATAGCTCTCAAATGACAATACCATAAAAATCCTGGTGCTCATAGCAGGTGGTACAGAGAAGTAGCATTCATACAAAAATATGCTTTTACAAGGCTTATTTCTGTCCAGCTGGGTAAACACTTTACAGGGCTACACACTGGAAAGCAGGGCACCATTATTGTTCTAGTAAGGGTGACTAGTAAAAGAGAGACAGTTCTCACATAGCCAGATTTCCAGTGTGATTATTCACTTCAACATTGGACCATTGAAAGAAGTATTACATAATATATATGACACAAATATGTATATTTACAATCAGTAGACTATCATCCAATGGTAAATCTAACTTTCAGATTTTCTTACTGATAAAAGTAAACACTAACTTACTCTTTTCTTGTGCATTATTCTCTTATTACATTCATTTTTCCTCAGAGTAGTAAAAGTAATATAAACTCATTACTACCCATTTGGATAATAAAAAATGTATAATAAAAATACACTAACCACTTGTAGTTCCACTCCTCTGGATCTTTTTCAATGTCCTTCCGTGTAATTCTTTTTATTTGTTTGTTTGTTTGTTTATTCTTTTGTAAGTATTTTTATTGATTATGCTATTACAGTTTCCCCAATTTTCCCCCTTACCCCCCTCCACCCTGTACCTCCAACCCTTCAGCATTCCCCTCCCTTAGTTCATGCCCATGGGTTGTACTCAGAAGTTCTTTGAGTTCTCTGTTTCTTATACCATTTTTATCTCTCCCCATCTATTTTATGCCTATTTATTATGCTTCTTTTTCCCTGTACCTTTTTCCCCATTCCTCTCTTCCCCCTCCCCACTGAAATCCCTCCATGTGATGTCCATTTCTCTGATTCTATTCCTGTTCTAGTTGTTTGCTTAGTTTTTGTTTTTGTTTTAAATTTAATTATTGTTCAAGTACAGTTTTCTGTCTTTTACTCCCATCCCAGCCCATCCCCTCAGTGCTCCCCACCTCCCTCCCATTTCCACCCCCCATAGTTTTTGTCCATATGTCCTTTTTACTTGTTCCTGTAAATTCTTCCCCTTTTCCTCTGAAATTCCCTCTCCTCTCCCCTTTGGTCCCTAGGTTCATTTGTTGATAGTTTTGAGTTTGTTGTCATTTTATTGTCTTTATTTCTTTTCACGTTTTTATCTTTTTCTTAGATAAGTCCCTTTAACATTTCAGATAATAATGACTCAGTGATGATGAACCCCTTTAACTTTGCCTTATCTGGGAAGCACTTTATCTGCCCTTCCATTCCAAATGGTAGCTTTTCTGGATAGAGCAATCTTGGATATAGGTCTTTGTTTTTCATGACTTCGAATACTTCTTTCCAGCCCCTTCTTGCCTGTAAGGTTTCTTTTGAGAAATCAGCTGATAGCTTTATGAGCACTCCTTTTAGGTAACTCTCACCCTTCCTCTTGCTGCTTTTAGGATTCTCTGTCTTTAACCTTAGGTAACTTAATGATAATGTGACTTGGTGTGTTCCTCTTTGGCTCCAACTTCTTTGGGACTCTCTGGGCTTCCTGGACTTTCTAGAAGTCTATTTTCTTCACCAGATTGGGGATATTTTTCTTCATCATTTGTTCAAATAAGTTTTCAATTTCTTGTTGTTGTTCTTCTCCTTCTGGAACCCATATAATTTGGATATTGGAACATTTCAGGTTGTCCCAGAGGTTCCTAAGTCTCTCTGCACTTTTTTGAATTTTTGTTTCTTCATTCTGTTTTAATTGGATGTTTAATTCTTCCTTTTGTTCCAAATCATTGATTTGAGTCCTGGTTTCCTTCCTGTCACTGTCGATTCCTTGAATATTTTGCTTTATTTCATTTTGGGTATATTTCATTTGTTCTTTCATTTTTTGACCAAGCTCAATAAGTTCTGCGAGTATTTTGATTACCAGGGCTTTAAACTCTCCATCAGATA